CTTCCAAACAAAACCATTCTGTGATGATTCAATGAAGAACAGAACCAAAGGAAAGAAAGTTTTGGAAAGAATTTGTGCAATAAAGACGACTGAAACAAAATATTTCATAGGATTTGTGGCCTTATTTAGATTTTTATAAAAACTAAGAGGATAAGCTCAGAGGGTAAGCTCTTTATCAAATATAAATTAAGGTGACTTGATTATTGTGAATACATTCATCCCCATAAAGAGCGCATGGTATTTTCTCCAATTGAATTATGCCTGGCAGAGTAAGTACTAGAGCTGATGAGTGCGAGGTAGAAGCTGATACTAGATAAATAAACTTGGGTGGTATTTCAAATGTTGTGTTTATAAGTGAAGGTGACTTCCCATGAGAAAACATAGGCGGAAATTGTTTTGTCCTTGGTCTACAAAATTTGTGGAGAGGAAGTCTTTGAGGAAAGAGATGCATTAAGGAAATGATCCAGAAGGATGTGAATGCTGATGTTTGGGAAGCTGGAGGAGTCCAAGCAGAAGGACTTCAGGAGAGCCCAGCTGACAGTAGTTTTGTTATCTGAACAGTGTTTTCAACATTAAATTCAACCACAGATGGTTGAAGCTTCATTAGATTACTGATGTGAAATGGTGGGTTGCAGCTGATATCAGATTGGCCCTGTCCTAAGTTTGCAAATAAAATATAAATGCATTGTAACACAAACTAGCTAATGTAACTCTTGTCACCTTATTCCTCACCCTGTTTGGTAATATTTGTTGCTTTTTGAAGATAGGGCTTCTTCCATAGCTATAGTCAGCCTCCCTTTCTTTAAAAGTAGTTAAATTAATAGGTTAACTATTTAACCTGTCACATTATGCAGCTTCTCGAGTGTTTCAGAGCTATGGTGTTTGTCTTGCTTTAAAAAAATCTTACTTTAGCATTTCTCTGAGTCAAGTCAAAATGTGGTAAGTCATCTGTTTCGAACAAATTACATACTTCAATTAACATAAATGCCCTCTAAGTAAAAGAAAAATACATTGTTCCCGATATGCATCACTTTCCCAAGCATCTTCTTACTTTCAGAATCCTTTAAAAAGTGAAGTTTCCAAAAATAGCAGCTGATAATAGAGATGATATGTCATAGGAACAATAAGGTCTTAGCACAGACATGTATTAACAAAGGTGTTTCAGATATTGTCATACACAGCGCATGGCCATGCAGTTTAATTTGGGTAGTAATGATAAGAGTGTAAAATTAGTAATTATATCTATCCAGTTGGTCACGGCTGTCGTGTATTTGGGATCTTACAAAATGGACATCAAAGTAATTATCAAATAAACACTTCCAGTCGCTTCTCCTTACAAAAGTTCCATTAGATACAATGGAATTAATTCAACTACTTCTCAGACCTGCTATGTAATGATATAATGATGGTTTGAAAAAGAAGGCTGAGCTTGAAATATGAAAAAACATTAAAAAGTTCTGGCCGCTTCAGCTGGTTAAGTAGAAACTTTGGGAAGTGCAGATGAAGAGTTTTTTCTATGTATTTTGTGACTGTTAAATTGATCATAAGCTATTTGCGTACAGCTGGATCTGAGAGCAAAATAAGAAATAACATTGCTTACTTAGGATTTGACTGCTGAGTAGAAATATACAGACTTATTTGTGCAAACTGTATGTAGATGATGATTAAAAATATGAAAAGAGGGTAATGATCAGGGTGTGGCATCTTAAATGTGTAATACAAAAAATTTGTAATATGAAAAGAAAGTGAAAATTAAGAAACTTCAGTAGCTCAGCTTTTCAACTGAATGCCTCTTGAGTGGATTGAATGTTGTGTGTTGGGGTAAAATTGGAGTTGACTTGGTAAAGGGCAAGAGAATGTAGTGATTGTGAGACTCGGCTTCTTCATTTAGGTTTGAATTAAAAAAGGCAGAGAAGAATGTGGTTTGAGTTTTGAGATAGATAATGGCTGGATCTATATTGCTCACTACAACGAATCTGTCATTGGTAAAGAGTAGGCCTGCTTGGGAAGGGCCATCACTGTAGTAGTGAAAGATCATCTGCTGCCGAGTGAACACACATCATGATTACTTTTTTATCATGAACATGTCACTGACTCATTCTAATGTTACCTCCTGGTTTTCAATAACCTGTATTTCAACTGAAGTGGGAAAACTCTTCATATGACATCCTGATCAAGCACTTCTCATTTGGTGTGTGAGGTGAGGTAGGGTGGGACACGTGGGAGCACTTTTTGTGTGTGAGCGCTGAATCATTTGCAAGGAAGTACTGAGATATGTGTATTTAGAGAATGCCTTACGTCCAAGTGGAGCAGATGAAAAGTTAAGCAGCATGAGGATAATGGAGAGGATATTTTATTAATGTGAGGAAGAAAAGGAAATACTTCAAAATGCTCTTAAGTTCACTTTGGTTGGCTTTCCCTGCATCTTCTGGGTTTTGCCGTTTACGTTTGTTGTGGCTTAATATCTGTATGTTTATAAAAACAAAAAAGACAAAACCAACCAAAGAAAACCATACAGAAAATATCAGAGAATAAAACTATGTTTATTTCAACAGAACGCTGAAATTTCGGTATTTGAAGTGAACATCCGTTTTGTCGGTGGACTACTTTCAGCTTACTATCTTTCGGGAGAAGAGGTAAGATATTTCCGCATGGTTTGTCTGAAATATGTTCATCTACATAAATAGTTAACTTATAGTTTAATCATGTTATTTATCTGAATTAAACTCGTTTAGAACTTTGAAAATGGCTTGCACAGCAAAGACCTGTCCAATGCGTTGTTTGCATCTATTACTGTTTCTTTGTGTAAGTCTTAAAGCTGTTCATTCATGTAAGTGTTAAATGATTATTTTCCTTTCTGAGCTGAAAACATACCCAGTACATTCTTAGCAGGCTTTTGCTGGACTGTGTAATTATGGAGCTCCTGTGCTTTGGTAATGGTAGATTTGGTGCATTGGGTTCCTGCTTCACAAATTGGTTTTGAGATGTCCTTTAACTCCTACAACCTATAGTTCTGTTGGCCTTCCTGAAGCTGAAGCTTTAACTCACAGGGAAAAGTCATGATAAGAACAAAAAGATAACTGGTAAACCTATACATGTGGATGTCTTTAAAGTAATAATATCCCATTAATCTCTATTGCCTGTCATGGTTTCTGGAGAGGATGAAGAAGCAATTTCATCTAAGAGTTTTAACTAATGCAATTATTTCTGTAATATATTTGGATAAGGCTATACTAAAGTCACAGGTACTGTGATATTTTAGTATTTTAGCTTGGCACTTGGAAAGGCTTTAATCTTACTAGTTTAAATTTTTGTTCATGTGTCTGGATTATAGTAGTATTTTATTGTAGGATTAACACAAGTTAATACTCTTTAACAGTAAGTTGAATTTATCATTGGATTTCTTTAAATCCAAAGCAATTACTGGTGGAAAACCCACAAAACCCTGAAGATGTGTAATTTTCTTTCATATGCAAATTCCCAAATACTGTGTAAAGCTCTATTTTGAACCTGTCACTTTAACTTAAATTCTATGGTGTGCATGTTGTTTTTTGTAAAAATTTATCAATACGTTAAACCTGTCTTAGCAGGTACTACTGGTTCATGTGCCTGACAAAGCATTTGTAAGGAGACAGTGTTCCTCTTCTTAAGCAGACTTACCTGTTTATTTCTCATGGTCATGTCCTGAGTGTAGGTGGTATTGAAAAGACATTTATGTTTTAAAATATACAATTTTTCATAATTTTGGGGGGGAAAAACTGCACTTAGACCCACTTGAAATTCACACTTAAGAGTAATGAAAAAAATGAGAGGTTCTTGGTTGTTGGCCTCTTGATATTTACTAAATATTGGTTTACTTAATGTTTCATCTCTGACTCTTGAGGGAAATAGCTTGTCCACCTACAGTAACTCAGCAACCAGAAATAAGCATGTCTAAGGGTGCTAGAATTGAAAGCTTTTCCTTCTGCAGTTAAATAATTGTCTTTCACTGCAGATCTACTTGCAAACAGGGATGAACTTATCCTGTATAACCTATTGGTACATTTTAATTAATCAGTTCCGTCAGAAGCAGAGGATGCTTCTTGGCAGACCACGAGCTGGTAGAGCCATCACGTGAGCCTTTGTATCAAGTGGCAGTTGTCTGCCAAGAAATGCCTGAACCATTTGTCACTGGCACTGTTGATTTCATGTATATGTTGATGGTTTATATCTTGTGTCTGTTAACTTTCAATCAGGGCATACATTTTCTCCTAAGTAACACGTAGTCATTGCTTCTTAACTATCCCTATCAAGAGGCAGTTTTACCACCACCTCTTGATAGCAATACTGGTGTTCAAATAAAACTCTTGTATGTATGAAATGAGGAAACATATAAGGCAAAAGAAAGTGTTTCTTCTAAGTGGAACTCTTTGCAGCAGAATATTCATGATACCGGATGCTAATGTCCATTCTAAAAATGGGCAGACTCATTAAGGAAAGTAAAATGGGCTCCTAAACGCAAAGGTAACTTGTATGATTATGGAAATTCCTGAGCTCTTGCAGGCTGGGAAAGACACTGTCCATGCTTGCCACTGGTTTCCATACTCCTTGGTAGGTATCTGCTGTCCAAGACAGAATGATGTTCCTAAACTAACAGTTGTCCCAGTGGCTTAGAGAGTGCAACTCAGCATGCTCTGCCTTTGTCAGATTTGGGGAAACTTCATGCTATTTCTCCTAAATCCGAGACACTGAAGCAATAGCCAGCAGCTGCCTATGCTATTGCTCAGGATGCAGCCATGCTGAGGACAGAGCAACTGGGAGCAGGTTCTGCGTAGGTCTGTCCTTCACCAGTGCTGTTGACAGGTGTGGGGAGGACAGAGTGCTCCAGAGGCTGGGTGCCACCATGGAAAATATATCTAATCTCCATTAGTCCATTCTACTAGTGGGCATCATAGGGAGGTAGAACAGCCTGTATGCAGGCTGTCTGGGGGTTTAATCTTTCTCAGTTAAAAGCTCATTGAATTCTTTATCAGATTAACTATTTAAAAATCTTATATTTGCTGTGCTCACTTATCAATATCCTAATTAAAGCAAGCTATGTTTCAGTAAAAGGAGTGACAAGTAATTATTGTTTGTACTTCTGAATTACATTTCCATGGGTAATGATCCAAATCTGCAACGCATTGTATGTTCCGTAATCATTTGTAAGTCTAACTAATCATGATTAAAGAATATCCTATCATACTGAGTAGTTCCTAAAACATCCTGCTCACTTAATCGTTCATTTAGACAAAGGCACCAATGTGAATAATTCTAAAAATGAACAAATTGAATACTTTGCCTCTTGATAACTTTGTGTGGTGCTCACTTGCAAATAGAGCTATGAGATGCATTCTATTAAAATTCCTGCAATTCTACCTCACTAGAATTAATCTGAAATACCTAAAAGTGCTAAGAGTGTCATACACTGTCACAATGTTTTTAATTGCTATTTAAACCCAAGCTAGAACAAATTCCAAATATCAAACTTCATTTGTAAAATAGCTATAAATACCAGAGAACCTGATTTCGAGACAAGTAACTTTTTAAGGACTGCTGCTTTTTTTTTTTTTTTTCTTTTTTCTTTTTCTTTCTTAATCCCTCTCAGTAATTTTGCATGTGAATGCTTCCCTGGTATTCTTCCATGAGTCAGTGGCTGTAAGGGTTTATTAAAAATAAACCTGGCTCCTTTAAAGCACTGCTAGTATTGATTTGTTTGTATGAAAGCATCTGGAGTAGCCTGTAATGAGGTAAGTCTAACCTGTATGAATAGGACAGACTTTTTTGCAAACTTTCTTGATCATTTTGGTTAAATTAAACCTGAATTCATTAGTAGACATGCGATTCTTCTAAGCAACTTGGTATGCAACCTTCTTTGGTTGTTTACTGGAAAATAGTATGTCTAGTAAGAGAGACAGTTGTTTTACAACTGTTTTCCTGTCCTTACTAGTCCCATGTAAAATTGTGGTATACCATGGGTCAGGATTGTTGCAGCAACAACATGCCCTGTTCTGCAGACCCAGATAATGATTTTTTTCTCTTGCTTAATGCACACATCCAAATGTAGTCATATAAGGAGATAATTTGTTAACTTTTGGAAGAGGACAACATTGTATCCTCTAAGAGCAGCTAAGACCTTTCTTGGAATTCATGGAGATGACAAACATAATCTCAGAGCACTGTAATCTTCAGTGTTGGAAATAACTGTGATACCAGTGCTGAAAGCCATGGTGAGTGTATGGCACCGCTTCTGGAGACTATACAAGCCTAAATACTGATCTGACTAGCTCTTCTGGTCTGCTGATAACTGGTTCTTACAGGTACCGCTAAAGCTATGTAATAAGGGGAGTGTTTTACTTGAAAGCTGGTTCCACAGTCAGGAAATACATTGCATAGGCAGAAATGGAAGGAGCTTTTAATAATTGCTGTTTGTATGAGTAGCAAAAAAGTGAATCCAAAATGCTCTGAAGTGAATAAGGAGCACGTGAGTTTCGGATTCAGCTGGTAACTTCCCATATTCCTTTCAAGCTTTTCATTTTTTTGAATGGGATGAGTAATTTCCCCCCCTGAGTTAAAATATTTTGGATTCAGCAGCTGTTCTTCCCGCATAATATAACCTTCTCTTTTCTATGACTAAAGATAGTTATCTTCTCTGGAGGAAGATAAAATAATGTTGATAATGATGTTCATATTGCTATTTCTTTCCACGGCATGAAGCAGAAATGTAAGAGATTTTTATTCCTTTACTGTGGCAGTATATCCTGTTTGAAGGATCACAAAATTATCCTGATCAAGATTAAGGAGTAAAAAAACCCACAACCAAATGTTCTTCATGTTGGACTTGGAGTTTCATCTGCTAATCTCTACTAACTGTTAATTAGAAGTGAAAAAGAAGGAAGAGTGACATATCACCTGATTAATTTATATCTGCATCTAGAATAGGAATTACAGTGCCACTATTCAACCTCACTCCATGATCTTGGCCTCAAATCTGACGCCTAATCACTGCCCACTTAAAACAACCATCCATCAGTAATGGTGGTGCTGTCTTATTAATGAGAGGCAGACATGAAATAATGTAGATGCTACTGATCTAGAGCTGCCTTTGCCAGGCTGACCACAAAACATTGCTGTCTTCATATAGTGCTAAGACATTCTCCAGAATTTAGCTGTAGCTATTTTTAACTGGCTCTCCCTCTTTTGTAGAGCTCTCCCTTCACAGAGAACATTTACATTCCATAAATACAAAAAAATAGAATTCATTATTTAGCAACTTTGAATAGTAGGAGGATGAAGTTTGTCACCTGTACAAAAGTATTTGCCCATTTCTGCAAATCAGGAATGTAAGTTCTAGTATAGATGCCTTGGGGATCTTATCTCACCAGTGTGAGAATTGACCGCACGTTTTATCTCCCACTTCCTTTCACTTGACACTAATTAACAAGAGGGCTTTTCCTTTTATGTCTTGGAAGCTTGGTTTCTAATGCTGTTTGAAACTCCAGGCATCAGCTTGATCACTTTTGTTTGAATGTCACTTAACTCCCCCTTACGCATCTTCACAGACTGGCAGTACCATTCCCTGTTTTGTAGAAACTAGTAGACTGCAATTGCCTGTATT